ATAAAAATGCAGTTTCAACTGCTTTTTATTTTATAAAACCCGTCTTCTTGCGCCACCAGAGGGCCTTTTAAACAATAAGTAGTCTGTTAGCGCTGGTCAGTAGTAGTCCAAATTCAATACGAACGTTTGTTTCTTGAAAATATGATCACGATTTAAATAGAGTTTTTATTTTTAATATTTCCGATATGTCATCGAAAAGAAAACGTGTTGTATTATCATTAAAAGACAAATTAAAATATTTGTTTTATTTGTTTCGATTATCCGAATTTTTCCTTATCCGGACTACCTTCATCCCCAATTAGTCCGGATAATCGGGGTTCTACTGTAGTTCGATTCTCAGCAATTCTCATCATTCTCAGGTTGGTGTTATATAACAATTACTATGGTTGTTGAAATACTGAATATAAATAGGGTTTGCTTCCAAAACGTCTGCGGGCGAAGTCGCGGGTAACAGCTAGTAAAATAGAACTTTCAAAAAAGTTTGAAGAACATTAAAATCTTTAAATTTTTAATCGGATAATCTATTTGAAATGAAAACAGTGACGTTTCGTTACATTTTAGTTTCCCTACTGGCCACCAGAGGTCATTAAGCATAACATTATCCTCCACGCCTTGTAATTAATTTCATTATTACGAAATTACTGACGTAAGAGATATTTCTTCCATTTAATTCCTTTATAGCAAGGATTAGTTGTAAGGAGCTACGTACATGTAAAACTATACATACAAAAGTGTCCATGTGTTGTGTCTGCATAAAACCAGAGACAAGATCCGGGATTAAAATCCTTGAATTTCATTGCTATTGGAGTCGCGATTCTCGAATTTCTTTTCACTACATTTTGCTGAAATTTACTCTTCGAATACGGTAAGTGTTAATGGATTTAAATATTTTAAACTACTCCAATTGATAGAATAAAGCTTGAACGTTTAGATTTTAATTACATACTTTTTTGGGGCTCCTTCAGCCATTGGCACTAAAATGGCCTTTTAAATCACTCATAGTGGGTTTGGCCAGACCCACAATGGGTCCGACATATCCGGGACGAACACCTCCAAAAAATTCCTGAGGTTTTTCGATCGTACCGGTGGGATCCCGTGTCACCCAGAACGGTAGGATGACACCGTAATTCCCTTGTCAATCTGGGCAGCTTATTATATACTTAGATTGATGTAAATTATCAATATTATAATTTTCGGCATTTAAATTTGATATTTAAAAATATCAGAAACACGACTGTTTTTAACATGCCAATCATGATGACTACGTGCAGTTTCAACTTATGATTAAGCAAGCTTATATTAATAATGTCTAATTATGTTTTTAAATGCAATGTCACAGTAGTGGATTTAGTATGCTCCCAAATAGTAATCGCCATTAAAATCCTGAGGGATCCAACATGCGACCTGGGCCCTCAGTCTCGAGTTTTTCGTGTTGTACTCGAATTGACGTCATCGAACTCACTCGTGTTACTATGACCAGGGCCGGCCATCGGGGGATGCCATGCACCGGGGCCCCAACATTATCAAGAACTAAAATAATGTACTTTTGCACATGAAAACTTGACAATATTCCTATCGTTGTCAGTATGACGAAAAGTACATTTTACCGTAAACATTATTATTGTAGATCTCTGAATTTCGACAAATCTTCAAACTAATTCTTGATGATGCGAGTGTTTAGTTTTTATTATTTGATTCAAGGAACTCCCGAGGATCCCCACCTAAATTGGACTTTTTAGAAAAAAATCTCAATGCCATATAGCCCGCGTTAAGAAATGAAAATACTATGGCCGTCGGCCATATAAAATTATATGTATATTTGTATATAGTCGTAGTTTTAATGTTTCTAATTTCTTCCATCTCTTTTTGTCTGTCTTATTTCTGGAACTTTCTGATGACCGTTATTGTCTCTGAGTAGGATTAGCCGTTCTAAGAATCAAAGAGAACTGTTATAACTTATCTGTTGTAACTTGATCCAAGTGTCAGATCAAAGGTAGAAATTCCTATATACTTTTCGAATGTCTGAGGGAGTTCTTGTGTAGTCGTCACCCCAGTCAGTTGTATCCGAGAGAATAAAATCTGATTTTTCTGATATTTCTCATAAAGAACAAACTTCAATTATTATTAGGTATGTAAATTTTGAAGAGAAAAGATTAATTATAAATGAGTCATTTATAGGGTTTATTGAAGCAACCGATGTGACTGGAGAAGGACTAGCAAAAACTCTATTGAAAACATTAAGTGAGCTTGATTTAGATATTAATTGTAGAGGGCAGGGATACGACAACGGTAGCAACATGAAAGGGAAATATAAAGGTGTAAAATCTAGAATAATTGCTCTAAAACCTCATGCAATATATGTGCCTTGCCTATCACACTCTTTTAATTTATTAATTTGTGATGCCGCTTCCAGAAGTATATATTGTAAAAATTTTTGGGGGATATTGCAACGTTTATATTGCTTATTTTCTGCATCTACAAAGAGATGGGAAATTCTAAAAAAGCATTTAAACATTACTCTTAAACCATTATGTGACAGTCGTTGGGAAGCCAAAATAGATTCGGTTAAAGTAGGGTATACACAGTTTGAACAAACTTGTAATGCCCTAGAAGCATTTATTGATATAAGTGACGATAATACAGCGGTATCCGAAGCTAAAAGTCTATTGGATTCAATACAAGAAATGCCATTTATTTTATGTTTATAGTATGGTTTGCAATGTTGTCTAAAATTAATGCTATCAATATACATACTATTTCAAGCGAAAACAATTATTCTTGAGTCGGCTTTTAATTTAGTCAATAAAATTAAAACTGAAATCCAAAATTTAAGAACAAAATTTAACACATTTTTAGACGAAGCAAAAGTGCTAGCACGTAATTTGAATATTTCAGAACATTTTCCTGAAAAACGAATACGAAAAAGAAAAAGGTTATATTCCGAAATAGCAGAAGATGAAGCTATAGAAAACCCGGTAGAAGAATTTAGATGTTATTTTTTTAACACTCTAATTGATACTGTTATTGTACAAATAGAAGATAGATTTAAAAGTATAACAAATATTATTTCTGATTTCAAATTAATCACTGATATAAAAACCTTAGAAAAACATGAATTAGAAAAATGTTCCAAAAACTTTGTAAAGTTTTATAACAAAGATGTAGATGAAAACCTAATCCAGGAAATTGGTTTGCTGCGGGATTTGATTTTGAATGAAAGGGATGTAAATAACGTACAAGACATATTGCAATACATACTAAATAATAATTTTAATGAGTTATTTCTAAATGTATTAACTGTGTTAAAACGTTTCTTTACGTTGCCAGTTACTATAGCAAGTGCTGAGCGCTCTTTCAGCAAATTAAAATTAATAAAGAATTATCTTCGGTCCAGCATGTGTGTAGAACGCTTAAATGCACTTGCTATATTAAGCATCGGAAAAAATTGTAATTTTTCTGAAGTAGTTAATATATTAGCAAAAACAAAATCACGCTTTAAATAAACATGCATTAGTAATATATGTTCGTGTTTGTAATTTGTTTTTACTTTACAAAAAATTTAGGGCTCAAATAGTTTCTTGCACCTAGGCCCCTTTATAGAGAAGGCCGGCCCTGACTATGACTCACATAATCAGTAGTCTCGAGTTAGTCCCATTGAGTGAACTCGAAAGACAAGCGGAAGTAGGTCATATTCACTTGTTTACGTGTGTCGATAAGTATGATGGGATTATTTACAATGCAATCTGGGTTTGCGACTGTATTTCGACCAATCAACTTTACTGTAACAAGTTGTAAACAAATCAACGTGAATTAGTTTACACGTGTTATAGTTAAAAGCTTTGTCTTATAGCAATATAGTACGCAGAAACAAAATGGAAACCTCAAATGTTTTATTTTAAAAAAAGAAGCAAAGAACAAAAAGATATATATAGAAAATAATACGAAAATGAACAGTGGAAAATTCGACAACGAATTTACAAGAAAAAGACAATTCGATTTGTGGAGAGAATTACTTGAAAAATTAATTGTGTATTGGAGCCAAAAAATCCGTTGTGTAATGGAAAAGTATTATAATTTAATCCTTTCTTCGTATAGTTTTCTTCCTTGACCTATTTCTTAAATTGCTTTGTTTATTAAGATTATTTATTAATCAGAATTTAACACTTCTGATTAATAAATAATCTTAATATAGTGTATATGCTCTTAATAATTTATACATATAATTTACTATCATTTTAATTCTCTTTTTCGATGAATTAGATCCTTCTTTTTATTTTTGGAAAAAATTGATGTATAATTTTATTAATTATGAATTAAAATTTTTTTTATTAGTGTTGACTTTACATGAAAAGAATATGGCATTTACTCGTGGTCGAAAAATTCATTGCCTTAAACAACTCTTTCGGCTCCTAACGCTTTCGATTGCCATCAGAATAGCGTATCTCTCAGCCATTTTCACTTTCGTGTAGCGATTTCACATGCTCAACTAACGTGAGTAGCAACTCATATGGTGAGATGTGAAAGCACATGAGTTATAACTCGAGACTACTGATTTGACGTCAGAGTGTGAGATGGTACCTCGTGACACGTTCAACACGTTGGGAGTTGTAACACGAAAAACTCGAGACTAAGGGCCCTGGCAAACAAACAATCATGTGACAAATCCTCAAGGATTTTATCATCCAGCACTTCAAAACATGTCTGAGGAATGGATGAGTATATTGAGGGAAGGCCATGAGTTGTAACTCATCGGCAATCTGTTCTTTTTAGGACTTTTATATGGGGAAAATGGCACAATTTAGGTGTTAGACACGCGAAAAAAGCCCGGCCAACACTGTGTCCAACCCGTCGGCGAGGCGTGAACCCGCGACCAAATGCCAGCGTCCAGTGGTGTTATCCACTCCGCCACTAGTGGGCACTGTTCGAATGTAGGCCAGAAGCTTCTGACCAACATCTCGCCTTGGGTTCCACCTTAAAAACAATAATGAATACAAAAAACATTACAACAAAATCTTTAATACTGCATATTCAACACACAGTATAATGTTAACTGCTGTACAAAAAGTCGCGTATATGCACAAAACAATGAAAATGGCAGCATGATCACTAACCCTGGAAAGTCTATTGACGTATATAGATCAAAAGGCACACGTTATCCTGCTGCACATTTAACTATAGCTTCGATATAAAATAGTGCCAGAGTGCACGATTTAAAAAAAGGAGGGGAATTAATCCATAGAAGCAATGATCGTTATGGCAAATTCCACATATACATAATCAACTGCGATAAATATATATATTTTTTTAATATTAATATATATATATTTACACACATATACTGTATATATATATATATATATTTTACAAAAGAAACACTACTCGTCGAAGTTGGGGTAGCGATCAAGTATATGAATCATCACACAACCATTTTCTTAATACTCTCCTCTATATAAATTTGCAAATATATCTTAAACTTTATGAAACTAATATATAACTCTGGCATAATTTTCTTGTGTTTTTTTAAAAAAATGTACAAATAATAATAGTAAAAAAGTCACTTTAAAAATTCTTTTTTACTTACTTAATTCTCTAAATGTAAATTTCCTTTTTTCAATAATTAAACCATTCACTCCAAGTTCAGGTGGGATGATGTATGATAAAAAATAAATGCAAATACAAAACTTGTATGTGTGTTTGATGGAAGCCCGTGAAGTTTTCTTTTATACAAAAGAACATAATATAAAAAAAACTTGTGGTACCAAAATCGTTTTGGCTATAGAACAAATTGATTTTCTTCATAATTTACATAAATATACAAAAATTACCATTCAGGCAATGGATAAGAATGAATCCAGATGCTGGAGAGCGTGGTGTCACCTTACGTATGAGGGATTCAACGAGGGAGAACTGCGCTGTCGCGTGAAACGACTAGAGGAAGTGTTCGTTCTGCACATTTCCTGAGCGTCTTTTGGATGCTCGAACATTGCCGCTCTCTCTCTTATTCGTTTCTGGCTCATGGCCGATGTGCACTGGGAGGAGAGAGCACGTCTCGAATCTGTGCTTGGGCTTTTTTGGGCGTAGTGCTTTTCGGAGGATGGGGACGTCTTTTCTAGTTTCTCGCCACAGTTCCTCGTGATTTTTGAAGTGGGTGATGTGGGTTTAGAATCTGATTTCGTGTTTTGCTTAGAACTATCCAGTGAAGTAGCTTTCTTCAGTCTCTCTTTATTTGGAGACCTGTAAGATATTTTCTCACTACGAGTGGTAGGACTCTGTATTTTAGAAGTATTTCTGTCATGTGTAGTATGTGTAATATCGGTAGTGTGTCCAGATTTATTTCTGTCCTGTTTCTCACTCGTGGCACTTTTATTTGCAAGCCCCTTAGAAATTGAAGTGTTAATTCTTGGTTTAGGCACTTCTCGGTGCTGAGCAGTAGACTTTTCATCCAATTCCCGTTTTGTCTTTAAACTGTGAATATTGCTCTCTTTACTCTTATCTTTTTCTACTTTTGAAACAGTTTGCTTTTTGACACCTGATGTATTATCAGAATTATTTTTTGTTGTATTATTGTGTTTTCTTAGACGAAACTCATTCAGTACCTTTTCTTTCTCTTCTGCTTCCAGACGAAAACTCTCTGATCTTAACTTTTCCCTCAGCTGTGCCCTTCTTTCTTCTTTAATTCTATTTATTCTCTCCCTTCTTACAGATTCATCCTCAGTCTGACTTGTATTACTAGATGATACAGAAGTGTCATTACCTACGTTAACAGCAGTAGATGCATCGGTACTTCCGTCTTCAGGTACTTTTGTATCGTTGTTATCTGCCAAGTCAGGTGTGGAAACACTTAAACCCATTGCACCTTTTCTTTCTTTAGACTCTCTACTTATTTTTGGCTTAATTTCTACAGGTTTTCCTTCTGTTAAGTTTTTCAATTTATTAATTTCTTCTAACTCTTTTGTATTTAACTCATCTTTTCCTACAGTCTCTGGGCTTTTCTCTCTCTGAACAATTAATGAAGGCCTATTATTCAAAGGAATTGATTGCGATTCTTTTTGTTCTTCAATATCTAGAATGGGATCAGACCAAGGATCTACTGTTTCGGTAGCATTGGTCACAGATGAACCAGACTGTAGTGATTGCAATTTTAAAACTTTTAACTGTGTAAAAAGACTTGGATGATTGGTCTTTGGTTTGGAAACAATATCTTTGGTTGAATGTTTTTCAGAGGAACAAATTTCACTAGGGTTTTTATTCGGAGAAGTTTCAAATTTTAACATCAAACCTTTAACAGTATTCTTCTCTTCTAGTTTAGGTACTATCTCTGACATATGTTTCCTTTCGACTGAATCTGAATTACCATGCTTTCTTAATGAAGACCTTAAAGGTTCAGAGTTTCTTTTATGTTCATTTGGACACTTTGCTACATTAGAAATATGTCTCAACTGAACATTGTCAAGAAATCGTGAACTCTGCCTAGGTTCTCTTGTCGAGGCAACTTTAGAAGTCTTACTTTCTGACCTTAAATCTTCATTTAATATAGAAAAATCACTTTCTAAATTTTCTTTGTTTGGTTCACTTTCTGCAGAGACTTCCTCCCTTTTAGTATCCAATACATTTACTTCATCTCTATCATCTAAATTAACTTGTGTGAGTGGAAGACGTTTAGTTGTTGCAACTGCTTCATGTGAAATCTCTATTCCATCTTTAGAAGATAGTTTAGTTTCATCTTTTGATATATGCTCAGGTTCTTTAAAAATAAATGCATTCGATTTAGAATTTAATGATTGCAATTTGTCACTATTTTGTTGATCATCTTTGGAATGTACCTTGTCTAATATTAACAAATATTCTTCCATAACCTCAGAAATCAAAGATCCTGGCTTTAAATCAGGAATAATGCCAGCATCTTCATCATCATTTGCTTCACTTTCAGTAACAATTTTATCATTTAAGGAATGATTTACCTCATTAATGTTATAATCTTCTAGAACATTATCTATTATAGGAACTTCAACTTTTTCCTCATTAACAATTTTATTTTCAATACTTAATGTGGCTTTATTTTCACATTCTTCACTATTTGATTTCCCTGAGTCTCTCTCTTCAGTTTGTTTTACCTTAATCATTTCATCATAATCAATTAAGTTTCTTTCACTATCTAAATTTGATGAAGTATGAAATTTTTCTGCTTCTTCATCTGAGCTTTCTTGAGTTGCATGAACTTCAACAATCACTGTTTCTTCATTACCGTATCGCTCTACCACAACTTTACTCTCTTCTTTATCATCTTGATCTTTTTCAAATCCAATGTCGTCATTTAATTTATCCGTTACACAATATTCCATTTTATTAACCAAAGTAGTATTTGGTTCTTCACATTCAGTAAGCATATTTTCAGTTTTGTTTGTCTTCAAAGTATTTGTAACATTGTTATCTTCTATCAACTGATCATCATTATTGTCATCTACGACATCTTCAGATTGTTTTTCAATTGACTTTGTCATGCTGAGTTTTTGAACTTTGGCATCTCCTACTTCGGTCTCCACATTCTGAAGTTTTTGCTTTCGTACACTCTTGTGAACATCACACTGAATATCTGTTGGTTCTTGTATTGTATTTGCCTCCCTTCCATCTGAAATTTGTAATATTTCATTTTCAGTTTCATGTTGATTTTGATATTCAAAATGTGTTTCCACGACTTGATGTTCAACTTCTCTTTCAGATTCTTTCTTCATTTTATTCATAGTCTCTTTAATTAAATCATATATGCTACTATCCTGGACCTCTTGCTCTTCTGTTGCAATATCCATATCTTGTTCAAAATAAGATTCGTGAGACGAGGATCTATTATGCTTCAGATGAGGCGATTGAAGAGATAGACATGGTGAATTCTGAGAATCATGATTACTATCCACATAATCCATTAATGATTCTTTTCCATCACTAGTTTCAATGCTTACTTCACGAGGTTTCATTAAACCTGCAAAAACAAAACATTCCTATAGTATATATATTTATTTAAATAAAAATATAAACAAATTACATATTATTACTATATTAGAAAAAAATATTTTTATCCAAAGCTATAAAATTCACACACACATAATAATATTTTAAAATAAATGCTTAATAGACAGACAACTTATTGCCATTATTACAGAAGCTTAATCTACTTTAACATTTGCCAATAATCATATTTGAAGAATTTTATCACAGAAGAACAAACAGAAATTCAATCTTAACCATATAAATTAATAATATAGCAAATATGGAATCTAAGTGTAAATCCCAAATGTTTCTGTCCTTCAAGCTCTAAGACATTCTGTTCTTTTATACCTATTTATGAGTTCAGCCAGACCCACAATGGCCCAGGGCTATCAGGTAGTGGGGAATAGGTCTGGACATATTCAGGATAGATCATCCACTAAAAAATCCTAATGAGTTTTTGTCTTCTCAGATTCAATCCTGGGTCTCCAGAGTGGTAAGATGCCTTAATTGTGTTAGCCATCTGGCTCTCATTTATTCTGTATTGTAAACTATTGTTTGCAATCCTTTTTAAAAGAATCATATTCAGGTGTACTGTATGTTGAGCCTGAAGATAAATGGACTGAAAACACTAATTAACAANATCTTCCTTTCACAAACGTTTTCGAGCTTTCCAGATAGCTCTTCCTCAGGTAGAGAAAAAATTCCGACGGAATACTTCGAAAAAATGGAATGTAGATATTTAAATAAAAAACCGAATCTAAAAATAGAACGCAGATGTTTAAACAAAAAATATGAGACTCGCATAACGAACGATCATTAAGATGGTCTTGCGCATTTTTTTTCACGCAAAATTACACCGGTAACAGGTTCCATATTTAGTATTTCATCCCCGGTGTCAGAGTGAAATTTAATTTACTTTATAATCATTCATCAATGCTTTAAATATATTTAGCTTCAATTAATTCATATCAATTATGATTAACCTTACCAGAAATATTATAATAAAATTCAATACTATGTCTAATTATATCAAAATCAACTGAGTTTTACTTATTTTCAATTAAAAGAAAAGCAAGTGAAATTTAATTTACTTTTTAATCATTCATCAATGCTTTAAATATATTTAGCTTCAATTAATTCATATCAATTATGATTAACCTTACCAGATATATTAAAAGATTCTGAAGAACTAGAATTTCTACAAGATGATCCTCCTCCACCCAATAATACAAGAGATTCTGCACTTTTCACGGTACGTAACTTTTTCGTATGGGAAATATCTGCTTCTGTTATAGCAACATCCTATAAATATTCATTAAAAGTCATTAATTCTAGCTAATAGTGATTAAAAAATTAAGACAACTTTAGTAAACTTTTATACTTTCTATTTTATTGTTATAACATTTTTTTGTAATACAAAATTATTTCAGATGTCATTTCATAATTTTAATTTTTTACAGTTATTTCTTAGTGTTATCGAGCTTTTACTCTACTTGAAATAGATTAAAATGCTAGTACAGTCGAACCCCCTATAACGCGGTAGATACATTCCGCTTTATATGAATTTCACGTTGTAGAAATCCTCAAATACATGAGCCAATCACAGCCCAATACATGTGCAGTTTACGGACTATGGTTGTTTGAAAGGTTTTCTTCCACAAAATTAACCGATTCTAGACTAATTTGTCTCAACATTTCCAAAACATGTATAATTTTTTTGGAAATAATCCATATAAACCATGTTATAAACAAATAATTGTAGGATTACTTACCGTGTGCACCATTCAACGACGGCATTGCTTAAGCTTGTTTTCGTTGCGGAGCAGCGCATCGAATGGCAGGCGCGTTTTCTGATAAGTTATTTTTCTGCAAAAAATTCGCTGAACTTTGGAGACATCATTAATAGAAATCATTTTTATGGCCGTTGAATAAGAAATGTTTTTTCACAAGAAACGTATAAAATTACAATACTGTATTAGACTTACAGTACCTAATTTATATACTGTACAGACAATAGTAAACTCAACTTATCTGCCTAAACTCTCCTTAGTGTGTAAGTAGTTCGGCTGCTCGTCCACTATTGGTCCAGATTCGACCAATCCTGTCGCGACACGAGTTGGCAATGACGTTTTACCGCATTTTACGAGTCTCTTTTAGCGTCTTTATATGAATATGGGCGCAATTTTTTCACCATGATATACGAATCCGCATTATATGAACCCGCGTTATAGGGGGTCGACTGTGTATATTAATATGAAATCCTGAATTGGGAATCTACTCCATCTATTCATCATCATGTCATGCCTTAAATATTTAACAGGCACTAAATATTTTATTCTATTTACATTACATAAGATGCTAAAAAAAGCATTCAGAATTATATAGTAGACAATACACACCATACTGAGTAATGAAGCCTCAGTAAACCTATGTCAAAATCCAACAAAAACCAGAAATTTCTGAAAGTTTGTGACTCTATGATGATGCAATTAAACGTGGAAATAGTAATGGAAGGTGGATATGAGAAATACTTTCTGCAAATATCAAGATTTGGCAAGATTACCTTCTCTTTTCAAATACAGCATGTAGAAGCCATAAGTCAATCATGATACACCATACTCTTGCTAACCCAACTATTCCTTGCACAAAGAGTTGCCAGATTAGCAAGAATATTTAGGTTAAAGGTTGCCTAAAAGCAATGAATGACCAATTCTTTTTGGAGGTGGGTGATAAATAATATGGCCTGCTGACATGCAATTCTGTACAGAGAAATGAAATCCAAGTAAACAGGAAAACAGAATGTGTGACAGACACGACTTACATTTTTGTGGAAATGGAAGTGCATAGGCATTACTAGATAACTGAGATGGGTATTATAGCAAGTGTGTACTGTAATAACATACAAAATTGTTAATATCCTAAAACTAGTTGAGTTTTTGCCCAACATTTACTAAGATTTTTCACTCAGTATGATATGTACTGTACTAACTACCATATAAATACTGAATGTTGTTTTATTTTTTTTAAATTCTGTATATTCAGCATTATTTTTTTAACTTCAGGCAAATTTATATATACAAGAAATCATAAAATATAATTAAAAATAATACAAAACCAACCTGAACCGGTAATGATGTATGTTGTAATGAACCAGAACTAACTTTTCTTTGAGGACAAACCCTATCCTTTTCTCTAGTGCTTCCTGAATGCCAACCACGTGAGAAAAATGACTTCCAACCAGACGGAGACTTTTTTATTTTTCCACTCCCTCTTTTCCTAATAAAAAAATAAAAAATTCATTATTATTACATTTTATAATCTGAAAATTAATATAAAAAAGATAACTTTTGAGCAAAACAGCTTTTAAGTTTAAATTATTATTTACAAAACAGCCAACTTTATTGGAATCAGAAAACATAACATCTTCATATATATTTTCAGATCTCTTTGTATAATCTGTTTCAGACTATTAGGAATTTCAGATGTTAAAAACTTATTTCATTACCAATTTCTTCTAAGGATAGACTTAACTGGTCTAAAAGTACATGAGATAATGTTAAATGTTGATTTTTGAGTCCAATTAAGTAAGTTATTTAAATAGGATTTAGTACATATTGTATATTTAATTCCTCGTTACAAACTACAAGAAAATTATTCAAAATACTTTTCTCAAGCAAAACAGTAATGAAACTTCTTATCAAAACATTACATAGTTTTAAAAAAAAATCATAATTTTAAATTTTACTAACAATTATATTTTGCATATATATTTATTTTTTAGTGTAATAATATATTTGACAATATAAAAATACAGGCTTCCAAAATGAATGCTACCATTTTAAATTATTGTAATTAGATTAATTATCATTTGAGAAGTATGTGATGTACACTAATTGATACAGTAACTGTCATAGCCGATTGCAGAGACAGAGTTTAGGTTAACAGAGTTTAGATTAACGACGTTTAACAACAAAATGACGTCTATATGTTGGCTGGCTGAACTACGGTTTCAAATTTCGATGCAAAGATGACAATCGTCTATTTCTGAACGCCATCTAAACGAACCTCAGCAAAACGTTGGCTATTACTTTCTTCGTTGTTACTCTCCTCTCTCAGGAGTTGTTTAACCAATCAGGTCATTTGTTTATGACATCAGAAAAAAGGAAACAAACAACGTGTTCAAATCATGCCAGAATTTTTCTGAAGAAAAAATTATCCTGCAGTTGAGGAGAAAGGTTACAACAATCATATTCTGGGATGGAAAAAAAAACTGTGAGGGAGATGATACAGAAATAATTGTTTTTGTCATTTCCTAGTCAGTCTGCTCGCAGCAAGACCTATTCTTATTTGTTAAACAAGATGTCATTCTTATTATAAGCATCTCTATCACTATACAAAAAACTTTTTAAAATTTATTTAATGATAGTTTAATACATACCTGAATACAGTAGACATGAATTCCAATAAGATCACCAGCTACCCTCTGGAAGCTTCCGGTGGCATAAAATTGTAATACCATCAACTGTTGTCCAGTAGTTAATGGCAATTCTCTTTCATCTAGATGCTTAAATTTCATTGCCAATACAATTTAAAATACAAACAAATCCAGATTTAGAAAATTTATACCAAATTTATATCGCCTTTGGAATACATTTCTAAAAGATTATTCTGATCTCATATTATCATCTCTCTCTTCGTAATTTTCGAGATGAATAATTTTCTTTGTGCTGTTTACAATGTTTATTAAATGAACAATATCCATTATAACATAAACTTTGTGACCAACAAATAAATACAGTGACTTCTACTCAAGTAAAACAGTGTTTAAACCTGCTATCAAGGGAATCTAGAAAGTAGGTCAAATAACTTGTTTCTAATTGCTATCTAAACTGTGGCAAGTGAGAAATGCCCATCTCTGCAATGAAATTTTTCTAAAACGCAGTCTAGACAATCTCTACATCAGGGTTGTCCAACCTTTTTGTTCCTCTGGGCCACTTTGGAAGGAGTCATGGCGTTTTGGGCCACAAGTATATACAATATATTTGCGACCTAATCCTTAAGTATACAAGTATATATAATCCTTTGAGTCACAACTCTAGCTTTATATAGTACTGTATTCCTTCGTCATTCACACATTTCCAAGTATTTGAATATATTTCCTTTTCACTCAAAAATAAAATATGTATAAAAGTTTACGGCTTTGTGAAATTTCTTTTTTGAGTTTATGCCGTTAAAATAAAAAAATAAATAAAATAAAACAATTTGTCGGTTTTGTTTACACGTTTATTGGGCCGCATTGAAACTTGCCTTGGGCCGCATGCGGCCCGCGGGCCGCGGGTTGGACACCCCTGATGTAGCCTGTTAAAATTTTTGACAACTCAATGTTTGAAGGTTTTATTATCAAACTATCTAAAATTCGTTATTCTTTTATAATCTGCTTCTGTATTTGTAAAAGTAATGACAGAAATTATGAAAACTTTCATGAATTCACACTTATGGGATACCTTGTATTTGTATTAGTATGTGTAAAGGTTTTTAAAATTTCAAACTCGAAAGTCTTCCAACTTAAAATTACTATAGAATATAAAAATAATGTCTACTTTATTTCGAATATTTATATCCCACAGTTAAGAAATTATAATATTATAGATTTTCAATTCGTTTATCGAGTTCTCTAATTATTTGGAATTATATAATTATGATAATTTAAACTGACGAACTGGATAGTTTTAATTATATTCTGTATGAGTAAATGTTTTGTTTTA